TTATTTAAATGTTTTCCAAGCACATAGACACATCAGCCCTAGCATACATATCATGAGAGTAAGACATTTTTAACTGCATCATTATAAAGACATCATAACTATAATACTGTTTTCACAGCTAAGGGAATTAACAGTTTGAAATTATACCTAATATATAGTATATATTTGGATTTCTGCACTTGTCCCAAGTGTCTCTTAATTGTAGCTTTTCCTTTCCAGGATCCAGTTATGGTTGTCATTTAGTCTGGATAGTGTATTGAACATGATTGTATTTTCCAGAGCTGTTTGAGCTTTATTATGAAGTTCGTATGCTCTGGGACTTGATTCCTTCCTTACTGTGGATGTGCAAATGAATTGTCTGGTGTCTCAGATACTCCCAAGCGCCCTCTGGTGGCTGGCACTAGTAGGTCATCTGACAAGCTGAGGAAAAGTGACAGGTTGTGGCGTGACTGCAGACTCCCATGAGGTGTTTCAGGCACTTGATAGTTGTCTGCTTTTGTTTACAGGTGTGAAGCTTACACTGTCTGCTCTGGTAGATGGGAAGAGCATTAATGCTGGAGGCCACAAACTTGGGCTTGCCCTGGAGCTGGAGGCTTAATCCAGCTGAAAGAAACCTCTGGGAATGGACATCAGAAGATTTGGCCTTAATATATTTCCAGTGTGACCAGCAGGCTTCCCCCCCACCCCCACCCAAGAAGGTGATCAAAACAAAGGATGATCTAAACAAGAGCTGTATTTTAAATATTTAGGCAGTTACTTGTTAGCTGGTTTCTAGTTGAATTGGTTATCTATCTAGTTACCAATGCTGCAGTCGTGCAGTCACCTATACATTATTTAAATGTATTTAACTGTTAAATGCGCTACCCACCAATAATGAAATAGACCTTTATGAAAACTGTGCAATTGTGTGCATGTTTGTTTTTATGTTTCTTTTAACATTGAATATTGCCATTGAATGAGATGGATCAGTGGATGTTTTAAGATGAGGTTAAAATTTTTTGTTAATTTCAACCATCATTAGAATTACTTTTGGTATCCCAAAACATTACAAATTATGAATAAAACAAGTATACATAATTAATGACTCTTAAGTATTTGCAGAGTTAAAAACTTGGCAGCTAGGGTCAAATCTTCCTTGTTTCTAGCTAGTACTTTATTTTTCCAGTGAGCATTTATTTTGCTCTTTTCATGAATCTGTGCCACAGAGTCCTCTGACCCGAGAGTAACTCCATGAGATTTTTAGACTACAATAAAGTAAGAAGATATATGCCTTCATATCTTCAGTTTGTAAATTTGAAAAATTACATTGGATCATCGTGAACTCCAGGAAGAGTTAGCAAGTGATGAAAAAAGAGAAATGAAGGGATGGTGCTGAAGGTTGTATACACCCACCACACCCCTTTGGGTTATTGCTTTGGAAATGATCCAGGCCCTAGTTAGGTAGGATGGGACGAGGTGTAGGGAAAGGGAGTAAGGCGTAGACAGACAGTGTCAATACCCAGAGGGTCTGTAGAATGCAAGTGTATGGGCCCCAGTGAGAGGTCGTTACTCGTTTCTTTTCAGGCAGGCACTGAGAAGCTTGGGCCTAAGTTTGTGACCAGGGTGCCTTCAGGCTATGTGGCCATTGGCCTTAATCTGGACTTGAGCTGAATGATAGAAATTAATAGATGATTTGGTTGGAAAAGTAGGAAAGAGGAATTTTGATGGCAGAAGTGTTAGAAAGATACCATCAAAGGTTTAGAGAAGGGTTTTGTTGAACAAATTCATAATACTAGATCTGTGGTATAGTTTGAAGTCAGAGAGAACAGATAAGAAAATGTAGTACTTACTTATTACCCAAAAAGTGATACATGCTGAAAATTTCCAGGTCAAGAAGAATCTGATGAGAGATTAGCAACCCAAACAAGCTTTCCGAATGGGGGGCACAAAGGCCCCTTCTGATCTGTTTGTCCTAAGGGACTGGCTGGAATGGCCCATGGAATAAGACACATAACTTAATGGCAGTAAGTTGGAATTTGAACCAGTTTGTTTGAATCAGGCAGGACCTATTGCTAGGTAAGAAGAAAAACAGGAAAGGCTGTCTGCAAGCTAGGTATGAAAGCAGCTCTTGTGTTTTCAGGATACTTAAGAGTAAAATGGACCTATTCACCCATGTGCTTCTTATATACTTTTATAAGTAGGAGAGAGAAGGATAGTTTACAGCCAGGTTCCTGAGGGTTGTCTGAAATGCAAGTATATATCCCAAATACTGTAGGGTTATGAAAGTTGCCAGCTGTGGGCTCATGGGGCTCCTGTGGCCTTGATATGTTAGAAATTAATAGATGATTAATTTATTAATCAGCAGCCTCCAGGTTCAGTTCCACCACCCAGGCCTAACAGATGGTGGCAAAACCTAATTCTAGGCTGATGCCATTTCTGCCTGAGGCCTGAGGCAGTGTTGGTGGAAAGGACACTTCATATCTGAGCCTGATCTTCATTTGTGGTGTGGAGATAAGATCTTCCTATGGATTGTGGAGGTTTAAACCACAGAGTGAAGCACCTGGCTCCCTCTCCACCTGGGCTCATAGGCTCATAGATGTTTGTGTTGGAAAGCTTAACTTTCTCTTCATCTTCCTCTGGGGAACTTGTTAAAAATTGCCTCCTACCTATTGGCCTGTCTGCTTCACACCTCTGGCCAGTGATCCCACTCAGTGTCTCATGTTCTTCATGGACTTCATGGGGAGGAGAGGATACATACTCCAGTCAACCTTGAGGTCCTCAGGCCTAAGTCAAGTGGCCTGGTCTCAGGTGATGTTGACCAGGGCCTCCACTGCAGAGGTGAGGCCAAGCTGACAGTTCTGTGACAACTGGGCAAACGGCCAGCAGAATTGGCATAACCTACAACACTTACACGGAGCAAGGCCCTTTTCCTGCCATCAGATCCCAGATTGGTCTCCACCGGTTCCAGCTGCACTGAACAGGAACTTTAGTCTTTTGCCCTTCTTAGGAAGAGGTGTCAGAGGGAGACCACAGGGGCTCTACCAGGTTTCCAGCCCTCAGGTCCTGTGGAGGCAAATCTCCACAAGGAGCTGGGGTTTCTGACCAACTGCATGTGGGCAGGTCAATTAAAACTTTTTTTTTTTGCGGTACGCGGGCCTCTCACTGTTGTGGCCTCTCCCGTTGCGGAGCACAAGGCTCCAGACGCGCAGGCTCAGCGGCCATGGCTCACGGGCCCAGCTGCTCCGTGGCATGTGGGACCTTACCGGACCGGGGCATGAACCCGGGTCCCCTGCATTGGCAGGCGGACTCTCAACCACTGCGCCACCGGGAAGCCCCAATTAAAACTTTTGATAATCCTGCTTCCAGTCAGCTGGAAGCTCCTGTGGTCAGGTACAGCCCTGGTGCCAGAGTGTCCTCAGGAGTGTGCCAGGGAGGGGATGAACATCTGTGGCCTCAAAGCTCCCTTTTGTTGAAGATGTAGCCAGTGCGGGGCCTTCACTCCCTACCCCACTTCAGCACATATGGAGGCTCAGAAGATCGTCGTGTCCCAGGCCTCACTTTATTGTCAGATTTAAAACTCGGTGTCAATGGCTGGGGGTCCCAGGGCCCCTCCCTTGAGGCCACTCGGTAGGGGCCAGCCCTAGATCTTGAAGGCTAAGGTGAGGCCGTCGCCCAGGGGCAGGAGGCTGATGTGGACCCTGGCGTCCCGCAGAATGCGCTCATTCAGGTTTCGCACACACTGGGCCGCCTTGTCCTGCGGTTTAGGCTGCAACACCTCTCCACGCCACAGGACCTGCGGAGGGGCGGGGCATCGTGGGGGCGGGGCCTGGGGGGGGTGCCTGAGCAGGAGGCGGGGTGAGAGCTGGAGACCCAGGACCTGAGCAGGGGAAAGTGGAAAACCTGGGGGCAGGAGCTTACGTGATTGTACTAGGCGGGGCTCTGGGGCAGGGGGGCGAGGAGGAGCCCAAGGAAAAGACGGACCCAGCTCAAGAGGGTCTTTCTTCTCTCCCGGGGCTGTCCCTTACACTGAGCACAGCGAGGACACCTCCGGGTCGCAGCAGCTGCAGGCACCGCTCGTAGTAGGCGGTGCAGTTCTCCTTGTCCGCATCCACCACGGCCAAGTCGAAGGTGCCGGCCTCGCCCGCTGCCAGGAGCTCATCTTGCGGGGGAGGGAGGGGCAGATGCAGCTGAGTCCGCAGGCCCCAGCGGCCGGAAGACCCCGCCCAGGCCGGCCCAGGCGCTGTGACCATTCAGGTACTTGAGGGCCCCTGCCTGCCACTCTGCATGTGGCTGCGTACCGGGTGGCGGGGGGGTGGGGGCTGTCATTGCCTAAGCCCGCCCGTTGGACCGGGTCACTACCTCGCGCCGGGTGGTCCCATTTGGGAAACGGCGCCAAGGCCCTTTCCGCTCCGTTGCTCACCCAGGGTCTCCAGAGCGGGTTTCAACCGAAGTTCGATCTTGTGCTCCACCTCGGCCTGCGTGCGAGAGGAGCGGGGTCAGAGTCAGCATGTCCTTTCTCCCGGAGCTGGGAGTGGCCGGGCTCCAGGGGCCCGACGAAGGCCTCAGGTGTGTGGGGCACTCACCTGCCTCCACAGGGGACGTCCCAGCTCCGGGGGCCCTGCGTCCACCTCGCAGGTCACCACGCGCCCGGCCGGGGGCAGCGCTAGGGCCAACGCTAGGGCCGAGTAGCCTGTGAAAGTGCCTGAGGACGTGGACACGGACAGGCTCAGGCCAGAGTGGGGCGACGGCCCGGTGACTCCGGCCCCCAGTGACCCCAGCCGCGTGCCCTACCAAGGTCCAGTGCCTTCTTAGCCTTGATGAGGCGAGCCAGGTTGGCCAAGAGCTGGGCCTGCTCACAGGTCATCATGGAATCCCCCTGCGGCTGCTCCAAGGTCAGCTGCTTGCGGGGAGGAGAGGGTCGCACTAGCCCTGCCAGTCACCCAGCTGAGCCCCAGGTTTAGAGCCCCCAGAGGCGTGGCTGTGGGCGTGGCCCAGGGGCGGACCTTCATGGAACGCCCAACCATGCCCGGCCTGCGCGGACGGGGGCCACCGACCAGCCCAAGGTCACGCAGCCACGTGGGTCCCTCCCGGCCCGAGGTGGGCGCCCGTTCCCGCTTCCGGCCCTGCTGACCAGCCGCAGGCTCCGCAGCGCCGGGTGCTCCCGCATGGAGCGGCTCAGCAGATACTGCCACAGGGGGCTGTCCTCAGGGGGCAGCAGGCGCTTCTCTCGCCGGGATCGCCATGGAGGGAACCATCTCCCTGCCGGGGAGGGGTGGTGCTGGGTCAGGGCCTGGGGCTCCAGGGCGCCGGGGGTGAGCCTCAGCCGCAGCCAGCCTCGCGGGTTCACGGGCTCTGCTCCTGCGTCCGCCCGCCCGCGGGGCCTCTGCCGAGGATGCCGAAGGCCCGGCCCTACTCACCCAGGAAGAGGCCGCTGGCGAAGGCAGCGGCCAGCGCGGCCGAGCCTAGGGCCAGCGCGGCGGGCACAGAGAGCCGGGGCACGGGCTGGGTCATGGTTCGGGCAGGAGGCAGCGGCGTCCAGGTCACTTGCGCTAGGGCTACTGGGACCGCCCTGGGACCCGCGGGCCCTCGCGGCTCCAACTTGCCCGGGTAGTGCCCTCGGAGCCGCGGCCTCGACCACCATCTGGCGGCCTCATGGCCTTACTGCAAGCCCCGCCCAAGTGGGTCAGTCGTCATCTAGTGGCCGCTTTCGGAACTGTGCCGGCGGCTATGCTGCTTCCTCATCGCTACCATTTTTGCTGAGAACCCCCAGGGGCATATGGGTGGGCGAGTAGAACGTCGGTATAACAGGATACTAACAGGTACAAATGATAGAAATTAAAGGAACCCTGGGAGGGACCGAGAGGATCAGGGAGGGCCTCTTGGGGGAGGTCACCAAGGATGTCAAGTTGAAGGAATGTATGTTTGGGGGAGTTGGGGTTTGGGAGCCCTGGGTCAGATCTGGTTGATGGGGTGCTGAGACAACACCCTTAGTTAGAATCATGCTCTTGGGTACCAGCTAGGCTTGGGTGTGAGATCTTGGGCCCATCAGTCTCTGAGCCTCAGTTTCCTTTGTGTAAAACTGGGACCACTGCCCTACTATTAATGGCACCAGATCCCATAGCCTGGCACACAGTAGCTGCTCAAGAAGTGGCAGCTGCTGTTATCATAAGTTGAAGATATCTTGGGGAGGAAAGATCAGAGGGCAGGTGAAGTCCCATTGCAGGGCTGTTCCTCAGGGATGCTATCCAGTGAACAGTGATGGGAACACTGACTGTGTGCCGAATGGGGCGAGGCGAAAGAAGCTGTCCTGGCTTGTGTTAGTGAAGCTGGGCTCAGAGACCACAGGGCACAGGGAACTTGTGTGTCCCGGCTTCACAATTTTCTCTTCTGTAAAATGGGGTTCTTAACAGTCCTGGCCTCTTGGGAGATGAAATGAGAAAATCCAGGTGAAGAATTCACACAGGGCCTGGGACTTAGTGGGCTATAGCTGTTACATTTAAAAGCCAGATTCCATCGGCCGTTGCTCCGTGGCTGTCCCCTGACACCAGCCTTCAGCAACCACACTGGGCAGACTGGAGCCCCACCGGGGGCTTTCCAGGCGAGGCTCAGCCCCAGCAAGGCTCAGGGACAGGCTTGTTGGGGGAGGTTGGTGAGGGAGCAGTTTGGCTGAGACTGAAGACAGGGCGAACTAAAGAAGCCCGGAGCTCAGAGCCCGGGACTGACCGGAGCTGCGGGAGCTCTGGGCCCACGGGAGGCCACGCAGGAGCGTGGACACACAATGAGCTCTTCTGACCCGGGGGAAACCAGAAGTGCTTTCATGGTTCCTCTGCTGAGACCCTTCCACCAGGCCAGGCGGCACTGGGGCGCTGGGCTCAGCCGGGGCTGCAAACTGGCGCTCTCTTTCCTGTCTGGGGGTCTGGGTTTGGGCAGGCCCCCAGCTCACACCAGAACCTCCCTCCCCCCACCTGGCTTCAGGCCGGAGCCCGTGGAGGTGGGAGGCGGGCGGGGAGGGGAGGCATGTCACCATATATCCCCCTCAGATTAAAAAACTAATTTGAAAAGATTAATGTATTCCATTCTTGTTACGCTGGCTCTGATACCTCTGGGCCTGCGGCTGCTCTGCCTCCTGATTATTGAATTTTTATGGCCTGGTAATTAATTGCAGATTCCCTGTTTTGTTCTATTTCTTCTTCTCTGACATTTTAATTTCAACAAAAAGCAGTGGTCTCCATGCAGGTTCTCTCTGGAGATCCTAATGGTCTATAAAACAGAATGACTTATAGACGTGGCACCCACTTCAGTTGGCGAGCGATTGTTTGAACCCTTGCTGATCACGCAAAATTTAATTTTTCCACCTCCCTCCCCCATTCGCTACTCATTTCTTGTCTCTTCCATTACAGCGCCGGTGTCTCAGTTCGCAATGAAGGGAGCAAAGTGTCGCCTCCGAATCTGTTACAGGGCCTTTTCCTAGAAGACCAGGGGGCTGAAGACAAAGTAGGTTTGGGTTCTTTTCCTTGGAGGTGGCCCGAGTGGCGGCGGTGGAAGCTGGGCCTCCCCAGAGGGCCACGTGGATGTGGGCAGCTGTCTCCAGGGGTGGGGGAGGATCATTTCTGCCTCTCTCAATTGCCCTTTTGGCCAAGTGCAGCTGCCCCATTAGGCACCAAGGCACCTGCTGGTCATGAGGGCAGAGAGGATGCATGCCCATACGTGCTGTTGGGTCGACACCAGGAAGTCAGGGGGTTTGACCCCTGCCAAATTCTTAGCCAGACTGGGTCACTGGAAATAGCTGTTCACAAAAATGGATCTGGTAGAGGCCCCTGAGTTACTAACCTAATACCCCCAACCCCTACTTCTCCCAGCCCTGCTAACATCACACAGGCTGGGCGCCTTCCCCCAGGATCCCCCCAGGACTGGGCGGGGTAGGGGCAGAAGAGTAAGGTTATGGAGTCAAGTTGGGCCTAAAGGATTAGAATTTAGATATCTTCAGGGGTCAGGCAGGCAGGTGAGGGGAGGGCGGTAGGGAGCAGTGGGGACTGTGGTGTTCCAGAACTGATGCCCCATCAGGTGTGGCGGCCCCTCAGCTCCCACTCATGTGGCCATGTGGGAAGAAGAGCATATTGTGGCTGGAGCTTCTGATTTTTCAAAAGAGGTTGGAAATCTGGCTTTTAATGTGAAATCTCACAATTTAAAACACTTGGGTTAGACTTTTTTTTTTTTTTTTTTACGCTCCATGTCAGCAAAACTGAATACATCTTTGATCTTTGTGTCTGACCTGGCCCATAGGACAACTGTTTCTTCTGATTTGGAGCATGGGTCAGAGAAGTTAGGACATAAGAGTGGAGTCTGTTGGGGCCAGAGAGGCCTCACTGGCTGGCTGATCACCCCCAGTCCCCAGGCCCTGCCCCAGGAATCCTCCTCCTACCTTTGGGCCCTTCAGTCCCCTTCCTGCACTTGTGGGCTCTTCCCCGGCAGCTGTGGTTCTCTCAGAGGTGCCTGTGAGCCTCTGTCCAGGGCTTGCCTTCTTTAGGCCTCCTGTCTCCACAGACAAACTTGCAGCCTGGAGTCTGACCACATCTGGGTGAGGTCTGCCGAGCTTTTCACCTAAGACTTCGGGGGGCAATGCTGTGACTCTAGTGGCTCCGGGGGCCGTGGTGGGCCGAGTGGGCTGATGCAGACAGACCGTGAATCAGGAGCTTCTGGGGCCCCTCAGATGAGCGGGGGAGGACAGGGGCCACGGCCTGCTCCCGCCTCCTCTGTGCTGAGATGCTGTGGAGCTGGCACTGGCAGTGCCCTGGCCTCTCATGCCTCAGTTTCCTCATCTGGACAGGCCGAATGGGAAGTGACAGCATGGGCTCCGGAGTCTGAGGGACTTGGGTTCAAACATTGGTCCACCACTCACTTTGTGGCTGTGTGAGCTCCGAGTTTCTCAGCTAGAAAAATGGGGATGATCCTTCTGTCTTAGTGTTCTGTGCTGTGTAATGAACCACCACATGCTGAGCGGCTTAAAACAATGCCATTTTTTATCTCGTGGTTCTGTAGGTCAGGAGTCAGGCCAGGCCTGGCTGATCCTCCGCTCAGGGTCTCACCAGGTAGAAGGCACCTCGAATACTTCTGGTGTTTCAGATCACTCTGCCTTCCTTTTCTGCTTTTCAGGGCTCACGTGATTCCAGGGGACCCACCCGGCTAATCCAGGATAATCTCTCCATTTCAAGGTGAGCTGGTTAGTGACCTTAGTTCCATCTGCAAAGTTCCCCTTGCCACCTGAGTTGATGACCGAGAGAGTAACACTGGTGGTAGAGATCATGGGAGAGTGGTCAAATTCTGCCACAAACTGCAGCCTCTCAGTGTGGTTGTCAGGATGAAGATAACCCTGCCAAGTTCCCATCCCCCCTCTTTGAGAACCACGCTGTGAGGTTTTTGGTTTGTTTTTATTTTTGGCCGCGCCACGCGGCGTGCGGGATCTTAGTTCCCCGACCAGGGATTGAGCCTGGGCCCCCTGCATTGGGAACGAGGAGTCTTAACCACTGGACCACCAGGGAAGTCACATTAGGTATTTAAATACAGAGGATTCCCTGCTACTGCATAGACAGAATGGGCAGTGGGCATGTTCCTCACAGCCACCCTCTCAAGAAGCTAGCATTGCCCCCGTTTTCCAGATGTGCAAACTGAGGTTCCCAGATGTCAGGTGACATATAAGTGGCAGAGCCAGGTGTGAACCTGTCCCTGTCTCAGCTTCACATAAGAGTTTGTCATCTCACCACTGGCCCAAGTCCAGAGCTCCTATATCCCCTGGAAGTTCATCGAGTTCTCTTGAGAGGCTTCCACCATGCGCCAGAGATTTACCTGTGATCCGATTTCTCTGGTTCAACTCAGGTCCTGGCATTTGGGTGTCTCTGGGATTCCCCAGTGGATGACTTAGATGTGTGTTTCATGGTGTCACCTGCTCCTTTTTTCTTCTTCTTTTTTTTTTTAAATAAATTTATTTATTTGTTTTTATTTTTGGCTCTGCTGGGTCTTCGTTGCTGCCGCGTGGGCTTTCTCTGATTGCAGTGAGCGGGGCCTACTCTTCGTTGCGGTGCATGGGCTTCTCATCGCGGTGGCTTCTCTTGTTGAGGAGCACGGGCTCTAGGTGCGTGGGCTTCAGTAGTTGTGGTGCACGTGCTCAGTAGTTGTGGCACACGGGCTTAGTTGCTCCGCGGCATGTGGGATCTTCCCGGACCAGGGCTCGAACCCGTGTTCCCTGAATTGGCTGGCAGAGGCTTTCAAATTCTTAACCACAGCGCCACCAGGGAAGCCCTGCTCGTTTCTTCTTGATGGGATGGGCAGGGTGCCACTGTCAAAGCCACTCCTGGGCATCATCGCTTTTGCCAGACACCTCAGCTGACACTCAGGAGCCGTCAAATGGTCAAGACTTCATGGGCGTCCTTTTGAGAAATAGCAAAGAAAGTTCCCCTGCATCTCTTCTCTCTCCTCCTTGAGACACTGGCCTACATTGTGAATCCTTCCTTCCCCAAAAGAAGACAAACACACACGTCCCAGCCTCCCCTGCAGGTACCAGACCTGATGCGGCATGTGAGTCCATGGTTGGAAGGAGAGTGATGCTGTGTCGCACCCACGCTCTGGCCCTCCCAGAGTCAGCTGTTTGCCACAGAGTAGACTTGGCTATTTGCAACAAAGTGGATTCTGTTATTTGCAGCAAAGTGAAGTCTGCTGTTTGCCACAAAGCAGCTTCTAGATTTGCAGTTAGGAGTGCTGCCTCTGTGGGACCGATTCTCCCACCTCCAGCACACAGTGTTACCATCCACTGCAGAGCCAACCCCCTCCTTCTGCTTTGCCAACAGGAGCCCAATATTGTTCAGGCGACAATGTGCCCAGCTCCGGGGGATGGACTGTGATCCCTCTCAGGCTGTCACAACCCCCCTCCCCACCCCAGTCCCTTTTTCAAGATATCCAGGGATATCTTGCCAGGGAAAAAGAGGTGCTTCTCAGGACTTTTTATTCCTTGATAATAAGAAATCCCCTCTTCTTGCTTAGCCTTTTCTTACCCTGAATAGGGTTGTGTAAAGATGAAATGCTTGGAACTTTAGCAGCCATCTTGTGGCCCTGAGGCAACAAGGTTAAGAATTAAAAAAGAAAAACACAGTGAGGATGATGATGGTCCTTGAAGACATTATCTAGACATTAAACCACTCCCAGCAACTGTTTACCTCTAGCCTCCTCGTTATGTGAGAAAATGGAGCCCTTTGTGTTTAAGCAATGATTAGCTATTTATTCTTTATTTGAAGTTCATAGCATTCCTAACTGATACAGGCACTCTAGCAGTGTGGTCTGTGCCCAGGGGTGATTGAGAGTTGGTGCTGAGATAACCCCTTTTGCTTTTTTTCAGGTTGAGTGACAGATTCCACACTGAACTCAAAATCACGCTCTCCAAAGGTAAGGCCTCGTTTTCCTCAGGGGTCAGTTTTCTCCCAGGAGATGCCCTATCCCTCCCACGCCTGACAAGTGGAAATGCCAGTACCGTGCACCCCACCCTTGCCCTGCTGCAGACTTGTGTCTCGTCAAGCCTCCCCAGTCCCTGGTGAGGCAGGCATGATCACCCACTCTTTACAGACAGGGGACATCTGGGGTCTCATAGGCAGGATGTGGGGATTGTCTCCAGTTCTGTATGGCACAAAGCCTGGGGTCTCCCCACTCCAAGGAGAGTCTCTCTATTTGCATCAGAGCCAGGGGTGCAGGGGCTTCTGGGACAGTGGATGACCAGACAGGGTGGGAGCTTCTGTGCAGCAAGCTGGGTCCAGGTTGGGGAAGCCCACGACCTCCCAGCATAGCGGTCAGGTTTCTGCTGCAACATTGCTGTGTGGCAGCCCCAAGTCTCAGCAACTTCCAAAATAAACACCTACTTTTCTCACTGCTGGGTCAGTGGATCAGCTGGGCTATTTCTGCTTGGGGTTGTGGGTCCAGATCATTCTGAGACCAGCAGCTACCTGGGGGTGCTCTTTCCCAGGGGACAGCATGGGGGCAAGAGGCCAACCACACAGGTACTTTGAAAGCCTCTGCCTCAGTCAGGTCTGCTCATGTTCCAGCGGCCCCAACAAATCACTCGGCCAAGCTCTGCACAGGGGGCAAGTGTGTGTGCTCTGCCCTCTCTATGGGGTGGCACTGTGAGCTCACGTGGCAAAGGGTGTGGCTGTGTAGCCCTATTATGGGTCAGGGAGAGAAGAGTCAAGATCAGCAGTTCAATCTACACACAGATCCCAAGGGCCCCTGGGTGTCCCCAAAGCCGTGGGTGCAGAGATCCCCACAGGGCAGGGCCTCAGCAGGGGCAGGAGGGCCAGGGCCCCTGCCTTGTGCCTGAGCTGAAGATTCTCCAGTCTGTTTCTCAGAGGAGGAACTTGGAGCTCTGGGAGTCAGAGTGTCACCTGAGGTCGCAGGGCAACCTCCTGCCTCTGTCCACCTCACTGCCATCCTGAACCCAGCGGGGAGGGAGCAAGGGGTCAGGCTCACCTTCCCTGGGTTCAGCCCAGGGTGCCTACCTCCCCGGGGAGGACAAGCCCCTTTCTTTTATCCCCACACTCAGCATATGCCCATTTTCCCCTGAGACACCAGGACATGGAGCCTGGAACTCAAGGATTCTGATTGCATTGCATGGGAGACTTCTCAGTGCTTGTTTACTTCTGGTGGCCCCTGAGCTGGCCTGGGGACATATTTTGTTTGCCTCCATCAGTATTTTGTTTATTTGAATGGAGCCAACACTAAACCATCAGAAAATTTCACATTCAGATTTGATTTCCATTTCTTTTGAAAGAGCAGCAGATTTGACAACACTGGGCCCACTTTTTTTTTTTTTTTTTTGCGGTACACAGGCCTCTCACTGTTGTGGCCTTTCCCGTTGCAGAGCACAGGCTCCGGACGCGCAGGCCCAGTGGCCATGGCTCACGGGCCTTGCCGCTCCGCGGCGTGTGGGATCTTCCCGGACCAGGGCACGAACCCGTGTCCCCTGCATTGGCGGCGGACTCTCAACCACTGCGCCACCAGGGAAGCCCCCACTGGGCTCATTTTGCTGCAGGGCAGGTTGGCTGGTGCTGTGTGGTTCCCCCCCCCATCCCCCACGGGTCATGTGCCCTTGCCCCAGTCCCCACTGCTCCCTGCTGCCTCAAACCCAAAGAGGTTCCCTCATATTCCACATTGGTCTTTGAGCTGCTGGTGCATGAGCTGTAACCTCTGGTTTAATCCACTCCCCAGAGGCCCAGAGAGGAGAGACACCTGCCCAGGGTACACAGCCCATCTCAGGCTTTTGTTTCTCTTTCTCGCTTCCTGAGTAAGAACTTCACCTGGATTCCAAAGAGCAATCCCTCTTGTGGGCTCCAAACAAGGATCCCAGACTTTGCCGCCCACCCCAAGCAAAACTGTTCATGTCATGGTTGAAACTCAGAACACCTCTGGCGTTGCTACCCTGAGAGCACAGCCACTTTGAGGGGAAAATCTAGACTGAGATGAGCTTTGGGAGATGTTACAGGGACCCAGGTCTCTGAGTTACATAGGGAATCCCCCTAGATCTACAAAAATGAAATACTAACGGCTGATATTTATATAGCAATTACTGTGTGTCAGTCACTTCAATTACTGTGTCAGTATAGCAATTACTGTGTGTCAGTTAAACTTCATTTAACTCACTTAATCTTCACATAAACCTTGTAAGGGGAAAGGTACCATTTTTATCCCCATTTTACAGGTGAAGAAGCTGCAGCACAGAGAGGTTAAGCAACATTCCTAAATTTGCACAGCTTATAAGTGGTAAAGTTGGGATTTGAACCCAGGTTCTCTGGTTTCAGGGCTTATAGTTCTTAACCACTGACATATCCTAGAGGAAATACCTACTGAGGTGGCCACTTTTCCTGTAATAACTCATTTCACCCTTGGACTTGCCCAACAAGGTAAGGTTGAGTTTGGCTGTGAGAGACAGAAAAGTCCAAAAAAGAAGTTGGTTTCTATTTTATACAGATGTAACTTGGAGGTTGTATGGAGCCTCCAGGGTCAACTGAGACTCAGGCTTCTCCTCTGCTGTGTTGCCATCCTCATCATGTGGTGTCTTCTCATTAAACAGGATGACTGCTTGAGTTCCAGCCATCACACCTTCAACCCAGTTTTTAGGAAGCAGAAAGGGACAAAATAGAACTAACCTCGTTCCTTTAAGGACACTTCTTGAAAGTTTCGTAAGATATTCTACTTGCATCCCTTTGAGCAGCACTTAGTCACGTGACCACACTTTGGCCTGGAAATAGTCTTTATTCTAGAGGGTTATATGTTCAATGAAAAAATCAGTTCTATCTTTAAAAGGGAGAATGGATACTGGGAACATTCAGCATCATCACTGTGTTTTTTACAGATAAAGAAACTGAAGCTCAGAGAGGTGAATGACCTTCTGGCGGTCACACAGCCAGGAAGAGGTGGAGCCTGGATCCTCTGTCCCTGGCCCCTTTGGAGCAGGTGGGCTCCAAAGATATACTCTGCCGATTTCTTAAGGGGTGAGGAGGACTGTGGATACGTGCATAACCCCCTCTACAGACCCCAGGAACACCCAGTGCCCAGGTCCTGCCAGCCAGGCAGCCTTGTGCCTGCAAGCCCTGGCAGCCTGTCCGGGCCCAGATCCATCACCCCGGCACCAACCATGCCCTGGGCCTGACTCCATCCATCCGTCTAATGCCGCATTGACTGTGCTGGGGCACGTTCCTGAGGCGGCCTCAAGAGCGCTGAATAATTCAGTTCTGCGTAATGGGATAATGAATTTACTGACAACCCAGTGTGGTCTCGGTACTTACATTTCAAGAAATACTGACTCCCTAGGCCTGCTCTGCAGGCTGGAGACGTACACGTGCCAAGAAACTGTTGCCTTTACTTGCCTCGTGGGGTTCAGGCTTGACTGAATGGAGACCCTACTTTGGTCTCACTGAGTCTTAAACTGCTTTGCCTAGTGGGGAGCCTGGGGGTAGGGGGACTGCCTGGTTGGGACTTTGGGGCGAGGTGGAACTGGAATCACAGAAGCTTGGACGTGCAGAGCTGGAAAGGACCCTTTGGTCCTGCATACCCATTTTATGAACCGGGAAACTGAGGTTGTGGCAGGGACGGGCCTCTGCTCCTGCACACTGTGTTCTGTGGCTGGGGACACCGGGGATGCCTCGGGACTCCGGGGAGGAGCCCTGCTTGTTTTCCTTCTAACCTGCTGTTTTCCCCGTCCCCCAGCTGCTGAAGGGTTGCTGCTAATGACTCCCAGCTGCCCCTTCGCTGGAGACGAGCCCTCAGCCAAACGAGAGGCGTCCCCCGGAAGGCCGGCCCACCCTGCCTTCCTTTCCTGACCTGGGCAGATGATGGCTGATGACCGGCTGATGTGGTGCAAAAGGCCACCCCAAGCCTCAAGGTAGGACAAACTCTGTGATGCTATTAGGGGTCCAATATCCTTGGTGGGACTGCGGCTTGACCCCAGCTGAGACCGTGTTCTGGCTTAGCTTTTACCCCTTCCCTATCCTGCTTCCCTCACTCCCTTTCTCCCCAGGGCCTCCCCCCCACCCCATAAATCATCTGAATGGGAATCTCTGACTCAGGTTCTGCTTCTGGGGAACCCTCCTGAGGCAGCTGCGTTTCCTGGTCTGAGCCCTCCTTTCTGAGGACTCCTCCCAGAGCACTAAGAAAGGCTCAGGGCCGGGAATTCTTGCCGCTGGCTCTGCTGTGTGATGGTGAGGAAATCACTTCTCCACCCTGAGCCTCAGTTTCCCCTTTTGTATGGCTGGGGTTGAGGGAGCCTCTCTCAGGTCCCTTCCAGCTCTGAAGGTCTGTGATATGACCTGAGGTGCCAGGAAGCCTTCTGCTTTCTTAACTAGCGCCACATGTGCATGGAGTCCTACCATCGGGGACTTTTCTCTGAAGGCTTTTTCAAAATGCAAAATCATCTGAGATGAGAATGAGTTTCACGTTAGGTGATCACACTGCAGGGCAGACTCTCTCAAGGTGGAATCCTTGGGTCACCTGAATCCATCACCTGAAGGGGACTGCCTGGTTGGAACTTTGGGGCGAGGTGGAACTGGAATCACAGAAGCTTGGACATGCAGAGCTGGAAAGGACCCCTTGGTCCTGCATACCCATTTTACGAACCGGGAAACCGAGGTTGTGGCAGGGACGGGCCTCTGCTCCTGCACACTGTGTTCTGTGGCTGAGAATGCTGGGGATGCCTCCGGGCTCTGAGGAGGAGACCTGCTTGTTTACCTTCTAACTTGCTAGTTTCCCCATCCCCCAGCTGCTGGAGGATTGCTGCTAATGACTCCCAGCTGCCCCTTTGCTGGAGACGAGCCCTCAGCCAAACGAGGGGCGTCCCCTGGAAGGCCGGCCCACCCTGCCTTCCCTGACTTGGGCAGACTGTAGCCAATGACCGGCTGATGTGGTGCAAAAAGGCCACTATTGGGGACTACCCTTGAGTCCTACCATTGGGAACTTTTCTCTGAAGCCTTTTTCAAAATGCAAAAGCATCTGAGATGAGAATGAGTTTCACGTTAGATGATCATGCTGCAGGGCAGACTCTCTTAAGGTGGGATCCTTGGGTCACCTGAATCTATCACCTGAAGAGGTGCTTATTATTAATATTTCCCTTCCCTTCTTCGTATTTGGACAGGTAGCCACTGTCCATTCCTTCATGGAGTTTTCCAAACAAGTGTGGCCATATTCTGGTACCAAAGACGAATGGAAGGCTCAGGCCATTTTGGAGTGATTCTGGCCTCTAAGCAGCCCTAGACTCCTGTGTGTGGGTTACAGTGAAAGAGAGAGAGAACGCAGACAGAAGTAGACAAACAGAGGGATGGAAGGAGAGGGAGAGAGAGGCAGAAGTCGAGGAGGAGGAGGGCGAGAGGAAGGGAGAAGAGAAGGAGGACAGGTTTTAGAGATAAACGTTGAGGTAAACGTGACAGTGAACCTCAAGTCAGACACAAGCTAGTCCATCACCCTGCCCCCGCCCCCATGCCGCAGCTGCAGCCTCTTCACTGTGTAATGGAGTAGACTGGGGCACCTGCCTCGCAGGGCGGTCGGCAGGGACGGATGGCTCAGCACGGACCCGGAGCAGGCGCTCCGCCAGTGGGTGCTTCTGCCCCACCCAGACTGGTCTGACGGTTTGGTTGCGGCTCTGAAGGTGGAGGGAAGATGATGTGACCTCAGGTGAACCTTTGTCTCACCTCTTCTGGAGATCAGTGGCCTTTTGGAGAAAGGAGAGCAGCGTTAGTGTGTATGTGTATGTGTGTCCCAGACTAGGTGCTTTCAAGTCATCAGAAGGCTGGGTATTTTGCTTGACGGGAAAGTGGCCTCCTGGACTAACAGCAATACGAGGAACACATTTGTCTCCTGACCAAGAGGGTGGGGTGGGGGAAGATTTTTAAGGAGCTGTCAGAAGGAAGGGAACTGGGGAGCCACAGCTGGGGTTAGCTGGGGAGAGAGTCACTGTTCCAGACCCCGAGACTGAGCTCCCAAACCTCGGGGGTTGATGTGTGTGTGGGGAGCCCTCTCTGAGGGGCCTCCTGTGTGCCGCAGATTAGTGAGGACGGCAGGGACAGAAATGGCCCCAGACTAAGGATGAAAAGAAGGATCTCTGAGTGGCGGAGTGGAGGGGGGATGAATTGGGAGATTGGGATCGACATGTATACACTAATATGTATAAGATAACTAATAAGAACCTACTGTAAAAAAAATAAAACTCAAAAACCAAAGTATTCATAAAAAAAAAAAAATGAAGGATCTCTGTCAGGAAAACAAAGCACCTGTGGGTGGTGGGCAGCAAGGAGCCCAGGGATCGCCTTTGCCTTGGGTGCTCTCTGGGCAGAGTCTGACCTCCAGGGCCTGGCTTGGAGCCTCAGCTGAATGAGGGAGCCCTGGGCTCCACCAGGCCTGGAGGCTGTGAGCAGGATGAAGGCAGCGGTACTCCAGCATCAGCTGGGAGCTCCGGGCTGGGGCAGGAGGGGTGGATCCTCTCCCTGGCTCATGCCCTGCTCACCTGGCTAACTCCTCATGCCTGTCAGGGAGGCAGACAGTGCTGTCTCCCCCAGGCCTGATGTGCCCCTGACTGAGCTGGTGCAGTGGCTTAAAAATGTGACTGAATCCTTAGACCCTCCTCTCATCAGGAGGTGGGGTCTGTGTCCCCTCGCCCTGAACTGGGGCGAGCCTCCTTGAACAGAATGTGATGGAAGCGATGTTCTCTGACTTCTGAGGCTGGTTAGAAAAGGCCAGGTAGCATCTCCCAGGTTCTCTTGGAAACTTGCTCTGGGAGCTGTCAGCTGCCCTGTGAGAAGTCCATCTCTGCGGAAGCCGCCTTGTGCAGGGATCACAAAGAGTGAGAGAGATGCCTGAGGGGCCCCAACTCATCCATCCCCAGCTGTTTGAGTCTCCCATGCCCCAGATATCAGACATGTGCATAAGGAAGCCTTTGAGATGACCCTAGTCTCAGCCACCAAATGCCTGCAATGCATGACAGACCCAGAGTGAGAGCTGCCTGCAGTCCAGGCGACCTCCGGATTCATGAGTGGAAGACAAGATCATATATGGGTTTCCTAGGGCTGCCTAGGTACCAAATGGCCACAAACTGGGCAAAACAACAAAAATTTATTCTCTCAGAGTTCTGGAGGCTAGGGTCCAAAATCGAGGTATTGGCTTGTTCCTTGTGAGGGCTCTGAGGGAGAATCTGTTCCCTGTGTTTCTCCTAGCTTCTGGTGGTTGTAGGCAGTGCTTGGCTTTCCTTGGCCTGTAGGTGCATCACCCTGGCCTCTGCCTCCATCTTCGCATTGTGTTCTTGCTGTGTCTCTGTGTCCAAATCTCCCTCTTCTTATAAAGGACACCATCACATTTAATTAGGGGCACCTGTACTCTATTATCTCATCTTGACTAATTACATCTGCAATGACCCTATTTCTCAAATAAGATGACATTCTGAAGTACTGAGGGTTAAGACTTTAACATATCTTTTGGGGGGACATAATTCAACCCATGACATATCATTATCATTTTAAGCCGCTATTTTGAAGTGATTCGTTATGTAGCAGTAGTTACTCAGAACATGAGAATTAAAGGATGGCTAGGGAAGCAACTAAAACATCAGTGGAAATGTAATTTACCAGAACATCCTTCTAGGAGGCTACTGTATGTGGTTGGGATAATTGATTTTCTAAGTAGCTTGGGGTCGAGTCTGGATCCTCCCCACAAAAGATGGATGTTCCAGCAACAACATGTGCTTGAATAAAAACAGACAGCTTTGCTAAAGCCTTCTAATGTGGGAAAAGAGCTTGAGTTTTGCTTTGTATTCCTCCCCCTTAAATAAATGTTGAATATTAACTTAAAGAGAATCAATATGATTATTAGAGTGTTCCTGGCCTCCATATATCTCAGCATGGCCTTGTTTACTAACACCTACCCTGTCAGAGCACTGATTAACTGTGGGCTACAGTTGCCTGGTTAAGTGTCTGGTTTCTCCATAGACTGGAAGCAACCCTAAGAGCAGGGACAGGCTATGTCTTGTTCTCTCCTGAATCCCCAGCACAGTTCTTGGCACATAGTAGGTGCTTAATAGTTAGTCTCTGAAAGCATGGATGTTGGAAAAGGAACAAAGGGACTTAAAATCTATATGATGATGAAAGGTGTATAAATATATCAGCTACAGAACATCTAAGGATGCTAGAAAAAAATATTTTTGAAATTTGAAATTCTTTTCTGTTAATGGAAGAGCCTGTAAGCAAATAAGGGAATCATAAGAGGCCAGGAACAAATTGGAAACATCAGTCCAGGGAAGTAAAGACTGCTGGACACCCTGAGGACTTCTACCTTGTTGGGCGGCCTACAACTTCCACACCTTGAGCTTCTGTGGCACAAGAAAGACAAGGATGAAGCAAGGGATGATAAACATGACCAGGAAGATTTGAAAAAGAACCAGACAGAGGTTCTAGGAATTTAAATATATCACATACAAAATTTAAAACTCAATGGAACAGTTAAATAGAATAGACACTGCTGGAGAGGGAATTAGTAAACAGGAAGATAGATTTGAAAAATTATACATAATGCAGTACAGAAAGAAAAATGAAACTATGAAGAAGAAGTTAAGAGACATGGAGAGTGCAGTGAAAAGCTCTAATATATGTCTAATCAGATATTTGGAAAGTGATTATAGGAATAATGGGAGAGGTATTATTCAAAGAGATAGCAGCTGAGAATTTTCTATGATTATTAAAAAATATGAATCTTCAGATTCAGGAATTCCAGTGAATCCCAAAAAGGGTAAATAAAAAGAAGTCCATACACAGATACGTCGTAATCAAATTAAAGAATATCAAAGACAAATAGAAAAAAATAAAAGAGAAGTAGAAGATCTTAAAAATACCCAACAGGAAAAAACTT